GCGATAATGCGCCGGATCAAGTACTAGTAAGTACATGTACATTGCAACCAAATTAGTGTGTCAACAATTCTACTTTTAATTATAATTAGAACAATTCACAAGATATTCCGCTCGTGAACATGTCGTGGTACGAACACGCAAAGCAATTACTGTATCATAAAATGTGTCTCGATGTAGACGTAACAGATATGCACTCGTGATGTAATTCTAATAGACTAACAAAAAAATATTACACTCGCGAAATGCATAGCAGTAATACTCACCACACCAATATTACAAGCGACCTAGCATGTCTTGACAATACTGCCCTTGCAGCATGTGACAGTTCTGTACACAATTCCTAACTACAATACACTAAAAATAATGTAGTATGAACGTGCAACATGTGACAAGTCGAAAGGATAATGTTCAAGAGTGCAGTCTCCTGTCCACTGCAGCTAATATGGCCTAGTCTATACCAGACGGCCATGGCTGCAAACACAGTTATCTTTCTATTTTGGTTAGAGACCAGAAAAGTGCAACCGACCTCTACAACTACAAACACACACACACACACATGCACACACACACACACACACACACACACACACACACACACACACACACACACACACACACACATGCACACACACACACACACACACACACACACACACACACACATACACACAAACACACACAAACACATTAACAAGAACACACATTGCTTGGGTGGATGGTGCGCGGCCGGCGAAATTGAATTGCATTTGCCCGGGGGGGGGGGCAAGTAATAGCAGGGTTGGCAAGAGCCAAGAGCCCACTGATGCATTCAATGGAGAAATGGAGAGCAGCCGGGCACCGTTTATTGGGGTTTACTTTATAAAAGTAAGCATGTGAGGATAAATATGGGAGTGGGAGGGTGGGAACGAGAAACAAATAAACTGACAACCAGTCACCACCATGAACAATTCTTGAGAAGAGATTGTCAGCAAGGGAGCAAGAAAAATGGGTGCTGGTAACTGAAATACGACCCCCTGAGCGGTGCGCTTACATTGCAAAGATACAACACTGTATTTCCAGGATTTCAGTTGCCAGCACTGTAGTTCCAGCATAACACAAATCCACTGGGACATGCTGCAGCTAATATGGCCTAGTCTACACTGGACGGCCGTGGCTGCAAACACAGTTATCCTTCTATTTTGGTTAGAGGCCAGAAAAGTGCAACCGACCTCTACAACTACAAACACGCACACACACACACACACAAACACACACACACTTGTAGTTGTACTTGTACTTGCTCACTTCAAAAACTGGTCACGTGGGTCTCCCTGGTAGAGGGGAGATCGATCGAAAATGAATCTTGGAGAGATGGCTCAAGTGGCTATAGAACCGCCCAATGGCCGACACCCCTTGAAATCCCCAAAACTCTGGGTGGACTTAGAAAGGATCCCACGTACATGTATGGGCTCACCACACCTCAGTAAGTGGGTGATGACAAGGTGCAGAAAAAGGATTGACGGCATCAGTATATCCATCCTGGGATCCAACTGCAGTTACCCCTGCGAAGTGAAGTGAAGGTAATACCTGCTACTAGCGTGGGTGGGTGGTTAAATCAGAGTGGATCTGATATAAGCGTCATTAGCATCATTGATTACACAAGAGTTAATCTAGCCAGAAGCGGTCCATGGTCAACAGGTATGTATACTTCAAATAGAAAGTATATTATATGAACCCTGAAACCAACAAACACACAAACACACACACACACAAACACACAAACACACAAACACACACACACACACACACACACAAACACACAAACACACAAACACACACACAAACACACACACATACATACATACATACACACACACAAACACACAAACACACACACACACACACACACACAAACACACAAACACACACACACACACACATACACACACAAACGCACTTTCACTTGTACTTGGTAACTGCCAAAACTGGTCAGATGGGTCTCCCTGGAAGAACGGAGAGAGAATCAAAAGAAACATGGAGAGACTCAACATGAAACAAGACACTACCTTCTTGCTTCGCTTGATCTTTGAAATCTGCCTTGGTAGGTGCATGAAAGGAAAGACATGGCATCGTCCATCCACAGCGGATTGAGTTGAGCTTGCAACTGTAGTGCCGTTGGCCTATAAACAGCAGAGAAAATATGATCAAGTAAATTTCTGTACCAGCCGAATCGTAAGAAAAATGTTGATTTTCTATGTAATTTTGCGCTTACTTGGTCCGCGTCAGCAATATTGTCGCTTATCTTTCAGCTTAGTTTTTATGTCGCCAATGCTCACTTGGCAGCCTATTTCATCCCAATTTTGGTTAGCAAGTTAGTTTACTAGTACCTGAAATGTCTAGCTAGATTTCGAGTGGATTTCGAGAGTGGCAGGTGGGTGATTCTGTTTGATACAGTGCTGCATCAAAATAGATTATCTTTTCACACTGCACAGGCAAGAACAGAGCGATGAACAAGAAAGTAATCGGCTACTCGGAATCAGTTCCATTTTGCACAACGGCCGAGATCGCTCACCTCAGGGATCGCTCGCAGTTCCCTCACCTCCAGGTCAACGCTCGGAGTATCCGGTGCATCGTGGAGATTTGCAAGTACTGTAGCCGTCGTCGTCGTTCAAAATAAATCTTGCAAAAGAAGGTCGACTGATTTGAACCACACGAGCAGTCATGCTGCCCACTCGAAGTCCTGTAGAGAAGGCGACCGTCACGATCCACTTCCCTTTAGAAAATTGGCAGGCAGCGGAGAGGAAGAGAGATGAGCTTGCGAAAGCAAGAGTGTCGATCCCGAGCAAAACATATTTGTCACCAGCGCCGAGAGCAGCGACGAGGAGGACCAAAAAAATTATGAACCCTTCCTTGGACAATCAATTCCTCATGACCAGTTGTCATAATATACCTTACCTTCCATCATACCACGTTTTATCATCTCAAGTGCACGTGTTAATGTCCAATGTCTAAGTTCAAATTGTCGAAAGATAAGCGACAATATTGCTGACGCGGACGAAGTACACGACAAGAAAAACTTGCGAGGAAGGTTGCAGCACAGAGTCGAAAAGTCAAATACAATTACTGATGATGCAGAAACTCACCTGACTCAATAGAACTGTCCACAGCACGTATGAAAGAGCTCCGAGGACAATGACCACCATCAATACAACAGCCGCTGATTTGGTTGTGCTTGCAGCTACCGAAGGTTCAGCCTGCAAAACAGCACAGACACAGTATCTCGGAAATATATAGAACTAGCATTAATTTTGTAATTGAAAGGCTCATCATGATCGTACAAAGCGTCCATAACGGTCATTTGGATTTGACCAATCAGCGCACGGCAACACGGGCTGTTTCTTGCAATCGTGGGGTGTTTTCTGAGCTTGACGTGACTGTATTCGTCGGTTTTAGACACTAGGCCATTGTGGATTCGTGTTCAGAAGGTGTGTCTTTGGAGGGTTACCGACTCGAATTTCGTTTGGCTGAGATTGGATGGTGAAAACACTCTAACTCGAAGACGTGCGAACAAATGAATGAAGAGAAAATTAGAAATCGGCGACGGTGAACCGATAGAGAATTCCCAGACCGAGAAAATGGGCTATCGACGGTGAGCACCGGCCAAGTAGAGCTGCTGTTTTACTTTTTTGAAAACGTCAAGGTCGGCCGTGCGTTCCCGCTCGCACCGACAAAACCTGGCCGCCGTGCGCATATCTGCATGTGCAGCAAGAAAGTACGGAGGAGACAGCAAGTGTTCCAAGGGAAGAGTTTACCTTTGTGTTGACTCAAGCTAAGGACTCAGGCAAGTCAGGGATCATACCAGTCACCTCTCATCATGGTCATGACTAAGGGATTCATTTCTGGCCAGGAAACTCCCACTCGCAGCGTGAAAGCTGCGAGGCCAAACAGAACAGGGTGTGCCGAGTCGCGATCAGGAAATGTTGGGTTCTACTAACAACATTGGTTAGCTAGGCACAGCAAATTCTTGTAGATGCCAGGATTCCAGTTCACCAGTACCTCACGGACATATCTTGCTCGACACCCACCAGCGGATTGAGAAAAATGACCAAGATGGCTTGGAGAAAGGACGTCTTCTCCGCATGTCTTTCCCAGCATCAAACAACAAGACTCGCTTCGCCACTGGCCCTTCGCTCTACAGACTAGACCGGGGAGTCGTAAAATATCGGTATTTTACAACTAGACTGCACATCGCTATACATCGATCAGTATGAACTCGAGTGCGTAGCCGCTATGACGGCACAAACTCTGGCCTCCGCGGCCGTCGCCATTTGTTCAAAATGGTGGTCGACACTTTTTGAATTTTGTATGGTCGTGGTGGGCCCTCAATTGGCAGCCAACCCCCCCCCCCCCCCCCCCCGGTATTGAGGAGTGCAAGGCATTCCCAACAGCCATCATTGACCAACTACTTCCTCAAAAAGGTGTGAAAGTGAAAACCAGGCGTGCGAAAGGCGTCAACGTGTGTTTCAGCCAGTCCTTAGATAGATATATACCCCAGTACAGGTCTATACCCCACTACAACCAGTCTTCATACAGGTCTATACTCCACTACAGCCAGTCTTCATACAGGTCTATACCCCACTACAGCCAGTCTTCATACAGGTCTATACTCCACTACAGCCAGTCTTCATACAGGTCTATACTCCACTACAGCCAGTCTTCATACAGGTCTATACTCCACTACAGCCAGTCTTCATACAGGTCTATACTCCACTACAGCCAGTCTTCATACAGGTCTATACTCCACTACAGCCAGTCTTCATACAGGTCTATACCCCACTACAGCCAGTCTTCATACAGGTCTATACTCCACTACAGCCAGTCTTCATACAGGTCTATACCCCACTACAGCCAGTCTTCATACAGGTCTATACTCCACTACAGCCAGTCTTCATACAGGTCTATACTCCACTACAGCCAGTTCGATTGGGAATAAAGGAGGAAGGGAGCGTCTCAGCTTCCTCGGACCAAGACCATTAGACTCAGCACCCCGCAGACTACAATTGGTGAGACTTTGATTTTAGGCTTAACTTCCCCTGTAATGCGGTTTAAAGGGTGGCTTACACCCCGGAAAAATAGTATTTTACTATTTTGGTGGTACATGTACACGCATTGTAGAGAAGTAGGTAAGAAGCAGGTCTCGGCCAGTTTATCAATAAAGAAATTCCACACCTCCCCCACATGCACTCTCTGGCCGACCTGAGCACACCAGCAACATGACTGTCGAGCTGTAGATACTGACAATGAACAAATTCCCTCCATACAGTGCTGTTTCGACCACTAAGGTCGCATCAGGGAAGGTTGGGAAAAATGAATGACTAGAATTAATTAGATCGCACAGTTTTTTTGTGTGATGAGGGCGGCCAGAGAGCGCATGTGTCGGAGGTGGAAATGTTTTATTAGACAGGCGCGTAGCGCCGTATCGCAAACAAAGCAGCTAGAATTCGCTGCGCCAAGTCGCAAAACGCCCAAAACAGGATAAAAACTAGCGCAAAGTGCCCACCCACGTTCAACATTCATTCAGTGCATGTGTCGATGCGCGAGCTGAACTTGCACACGCAGCATGTACAAGGTATACATGATTTCACATGGTATAAAATTATGCGAGTCTTCAACAAGATTGTACATACACTAACAGCTATTGTTGGTACCTTTGCAGGCTGCAGAACTGCAGCGTGAGCGGAAGCGGGGGGGTGGAAGGTGAGTTAGAGTCCCATAATCAGCACCACATTGCATTAGTGCATTGTAAACAAAGGCGCATTAGGCGCGGCGCTGTGTGAAGCAGGGAGCAATAAATACGGGTGTTTTACTGCTCCCTGCGGGTGTGAAGTGACTCCACTGTGCCGCTTTTGTTCCAACTTGCTGCTCTCTGCCATCCGAGGAAAAAAAGCGTGTTTTTTTGCAAGTCCAGATGTGGCAGCCTCCTGCATAACGTTTGTAAGAAGCAGCCAATAATGTCATCATCCGTTCGAGATCAAAGGAGAATGATGTACAGACTGCTGAATCAGACTCGTTGAATTCTCTCCTGTGCAGTTTACCGCAAAAATTCCAAATAGAAGGAGCAGGCTGAGCCAGTATCTATCCTTGGCTGCACAAATTGAAATAGGATGATTTTTTTACACAATGTCGAATCAGACTGAAAAGGGCTACGCTACGCCCTTGTTGTAGTACAAGTAGCCTCTGAAACAGGATTTTCCCTTCTAGGCAAGTCAGCAGTATTTAGGGTACGGCCATACTTTAGTTAACCCTTTGGAACTGCACTGATCACACGACGTCAGGAGATAGCTGCAATTGCAAGTATCATCGTTCCAATTTCCATCATAACGCTGGTTCTAGTTCACCGATTCCGACGATCTTGGGCTCGTTGGAAAGCTCTTGGAACGAGGATAACAGCGAGCCCAAACTCATTCAGGAGAGCGATTGCTGTCTGCTACCGAATGCCAGGAACGCCAGCTGAATACCAAATCCAAAACGGGAATAGTCCTCGTCTCGCTATTTCACTCGTGCTAGCTCAAAATCATTCAAATTTTTTCTAACAGACTCACAAAAGCCGTGACAAAAGGCGCTGGGAGTGATGTCACACGCTGCGTGGGCAGGAAGAGGGAAAATCCCACTTTTGAACGAAATTTGCACTTCGCTGACGCATGAGAAATCGCGCGAACGTTCGCACACTTGCCGCTCTGTTATACTAGCTCGTATCGACCCCGGAGTTTTTCGAGCCGCCAGCTTAGATTCTCTGCTACCTCGTAGGTATTTCGATTGTTGAATTTGGTTGAGATTTGACTGAGTTGTGACTCGTTGAGTGCACTTGCACACATGACTTTGGCATCGCTCGAATTCGAACGATGAGCTCCAAAGGGTTAAATAGTACTGCCAGTTCTCAAGTGCAGCTTACTTGCCGGGAGGGGATACACCCCTTGCCGGGAGGGGATACAACCCTTGCCGGGAGGGGATACACCCCTTGCCGGGAGGGATACACCCATTGCCGGGAGGGATACACCCCTTGCCGGGAGGGATACACCCCTTGCCGGGAGGGATACACCCTTCTTAGGAGGACTGAACTAACTCTATGTGAATGCTGGCAGTTTCAAAAGTCAACGCTTCTAAATAGGCCGTTTGTGGTATGGATTTGTGGCTACTTTCCGGTAATGAGGGTTCATACCTGCTGAGTCACTTCCTCGTCTGTTGCAGCTAGTTGTTGTTGCTGCGCTGCAGTCAGTTGTTGCCGTGTTGCGGTCAATTGTTCTGGTGTTGTTGTCTGGTTGTTGGTAATGGGTTCTTCTAGCGTATCACTCCGCGCCGACAATGCAGTGACGGATGTAGCTTGCTGGGTTAGCTGTTCAGAGATAGAGTCCAGTCGCCGTACAACAGCTGGTAGTACGTTGGAAAGATGAGGCTGTAATGATCACACACAGTGTAGCAAAAACAGCCACACCGCACACAACATACCGATACAGCCACAGCACACACAGCGTATCAACACAACAATACAACACACAACATACCGACACAACCACACCACACCACCCACGGCATGCCAACACAACCCCACCACCCACGGCATGCCAACACAACACCACCACCCACGGCATGCCAACACAACCACACCACCCACGGCATACCAACACAACCACACCACCCACGGCATGCCAACACAACACCACACCACCCACGGCATGCCAACACAACACCACACCACCCACGGCACGCCAACACAACACCACCACCCACGGCATGCCAACACAACACCACCACCCACGGCATGCCAACACAACCACACCACCCACGGCATACCAACACAACCACACCACCCACGGCATGCCAACACAACACCACACCACCCACGGCATGCCAACACAACACCACACCACCCACGGCATGCCAACACAACACCACACCACCCACGGCATGCCAACACAACACCACCACCCACGGCATGCCAACACAACACCACCACCCAGGGCATGCCAACACAACCACACCACCCACGGCATGCCAACACAACCACACCACCCACGGCATGCCAACACAACCACACCACCCACGGCATGCCAACACAACACCACACACCCACGGCATGCCAACACAACACCACACACCCACGGCATGCCAACACAACACCACACACGGCATGCCAACACAACACCACACACAGAATACTGACACAAATCACCCACATAGGAAAATGAATACTCGCCAGCACACACCCATGAGGGCATACGCAAGAATAACATGAACACACACACACACACACACACACACACACACACACACACACACACACACACACACACACACGTGGGCACACACACACACACACACACACACACACACACACACACACACACACACACACACACACACAAGCGCTACTAAGCCACACATTAGGGTGCTGGTGACGAATGCTGTCAAATAAGTTGGGCGAACTGCAGCACATGCTATACTCAAAGGTTGTAGACGTCGCAGTTGATACCGAGATGAAATTATCTCGCTTCACGATCCCCTCCGATACTATGTTTCCCGGTTATTCTCCGCCAATCCGATGTGACCGAAATGCAGCCGGTGACGGTGTCGAAGGTTGGGTTCGGTCAAGCATGCTTTTGCACCTCGACGATATCCCAACGAAGGACCGCGAAGTTGTCTTCCTTACAGTATTCCTGCAGCACAACGTGAAGTAGTGGTCATAGGCCCAGCCTACAGACCTGGGTTGTGTAATGAGGTTGACACCCGGCTAATTGAGTATCTCGATACCACCATTGATACCGCCCAAGGCCATGGATCCTACGTCCTACTTGCCAGTGACTTTAATGTCCACAGCACAGCATGGCTGGGTAGCGCCAAAACCATTGCAGCAGGTGATGCCCTGGAGGAGCTTGCTGCACTCCACCATCTCAGCCAACTTGTGGACCAGCCCACACGTGGCCAGAACACTTTAGACCTTGTTCTCACTGATCTTCTCCAACCTGTCTCGGTCTCCACCAATCCCCCACTGGGTCGGTCAGACCAGGTTCTCACTGATCTTCTCCAACCTGTCTCGGTATCCACCAATCCCCCACTGGGTCGGTCAGACCAGGTTCTCACTGATCTTCTCCAACCTGTCTCGGTAACCACCAATCCCCCCTGACTGGGTCGGTCAGACCATGTTGTTGTGATTTGCGACTTTCCCTCTCCCGGTGAGCTTGAGACCCATATGCCCAGGCCGATCTCTCCCGGTGAGCTTGAGACCCATATGCCCAGGCGGATCTCTCCCGGTGAGCTTGAGACCCATATGCTCAGGCGGATCTCTCCCGGTGAGCTTGAGACCCATATGCTCAGGCGGATCTCTCCCGGTGAGCTTGAGACCCATATGCCCAGGCGGATCTCTCCCGGTGAGCTTGAGACCCATATGCTCAGGCGGATCTCTCCCGGTGAGCTTGAGACCCATATGCTCAGGCGGATCTCTCCCGGTGAGCTTGAGACCCATATGCCCAGGCGGATCTCTCCCGGTGAGCTTGAGACCCATATGCCCAGGCCGATCTGGAGATATTATCAGGCCAACTTGGGGCCGCCTGAAGGCCTACATCCGCAACACGAACTAGAACGCACTGTCCTCAGATGACCAAGACGTATATTGCCTCTGCATATGCATTACTAGCCGGATTCAGGACGGAATACCTATATCCCATCGAAGACCTTCCAAGCCAAGCTGACTGACCCACAGTGGTGGACACCGGAATGCCATGAAGCTTTGGCACGGCGACACCGAGCATGGAAGCTCTGGCGTCGAGATTGGAACAGGCTTGAACTGAAAACAAAACTTCCTAACCACTGTCACACAAGCCATAGCAAGTCAGACGAGGGCCCGCACATCATGGGAGACTCGGATATGGTCTAAACTCTCCTATGGTGGGGTGGTCACACTGACCGGCAGTGGTGATCCACACTGAAATCAGCATCGGGCAGCACATGTAGCTCAAGCATGCCCACGCTGGTCAAGGAGTCTGGACGTGAGCACAGAATAGACCAAGCCAAAGCTGACTGACTGCCTCGCCAAGTGCTTTGTCATAGAGTGCAGCCTTGGCGACGATGACCTCAGTGCTGAAAACCTACCAACTCTTCCGGACCATCCTGCTCTGTCTAACCTCCAGCCTCACTTCCATGTAGCAACAGTACGCAAGCTCCTGTTCCAGATGGATACACGCAAGGAAACTGGTCTGGATAATGTGCCATTCCAGTCACTAAGAGAATGTGCCGGAGGGCTTGCTCGACCACTCGCCATGCTCTTCTCTACAAGTTGTCATCGAGACGTAAAACCACATCAGTGGAAACTGCGCCACGTTCCACCCGTCCATAAGAAGTCTAGTCGTTTAAAGCCCGCACATTACCGACCAGTGTCACTGCTGACTGTGATATCCCTGGTTATGATTGTGCCTGGAGAGCACTATAATTATATAAGTGGTGCTCTTTCAGGCATAATCTTCTTCAGCTTACAAAACCTCAACTGATATGGGGTGAATTCCCCAAAACACTGTGTATTGAGCAGGGAGTGGTGGCTTCTTGCAGAGGAGCATAGTTGGTCCCTCTGTAGTGGTCGTCCGAAAAGTGTTGTCGTCCCTGAAATGAATATCGTTCATTTCGTACTCGGACCCTCCCCTCCATTTGAAACTAACACAGCTTGCTATGCTGGACGACGAAAATCGCATGCATGTACATGTCATATGTACAGTGTCGGTCAACTTGCGATTTCGGCTCGCACCCCCCCCCCCCCCCCCAACGAATGATGTTCATTTCATGGACGACATAAAAACTTTGCGACGACCCCTTAGGGGGTGCACGACTGCATATGTGTAGTATGCCTGGTACATGTCACTCATAGTCATTACGTGCATGCTGAACCTAGTTCGACAATTTTACGGAGTGCATGTGCCCCCCTCCGTTCCCCACACGAGCTATGCGCCTGTTGCAGGTTTGCAGAGTCGAAGGTTCGATGGACTTTTCATGTGCTCTGGATGGCAGTCGTGAGTCAGTCAACTGTCAAAGTCAAGTCGGCGGAAAAGCGCGAGCTCCAGTGTGGGGAGCAAACCCTTTTCTCCGGGATCAATAAGGACAATTACTGGCCTGTGACAAGTCATTTGAAGTGCTCCAAGTACAATATCAAGCTTGTTTCTTGTACAGTGAATTTCGGGATAGTCGACAGGAATGTCGGGATCGCGGGAGTTCATCCAAAATTGCGGGATACTCCCGAAAAAATCTGGATACTTGGCAGGTATGTTGTTTCCCGGTTGAGATTTTGAAACTGTGGGCATTCTTAAACTAGTTGCACTTGTCACCCTAATGGGCGATACACACTACGCCCAAAATGTGGCGTACATGACGTTTTCGTCTGAATAGCTATGACAACATGGAGCGTGGCGGGGAAATCTAAATGCCTGATACGAAAACGTAGACGACATATCCAGACCCCTGTATCGAGATTCATTCTTTCGTTCCCAGGAAGGTTTGGGGCCGAAAAACCTGTACACACAGCTATACGAATAGCGTGTACATGCCTGCATGAATATACTTGCATGAAAACGACGTCTGCCAGTTCATGTTATACCAAAACGTGGCGCGTATTGCAAACAGACTATAAACCGGGATTTCCCTTCTAGGCAAGTATCTGGGGCACGGCTATACTCTCATCTTATTATTTCCCATACAGTTCATATGACTTGATCACATTAATCATACTATTATTTTATTTTTTCATCATAGCCTAGGAGCTGTGGCATCATTTATGATCCCCAGCAAGAAGGCAGCAATGCCTGCACCTATGGTGAAGTAAAATAAAGGTAACGTAACATACCATAACTCTACAAACATGTAGTTGAAAGGTGCTGCCAGTTCCCACGTGCAGTTTACTTGCCAGGAGGGGAGAAGTCCCTTCTTAGGATAACATAACTATGTGAATGCTGGCATTTCGTGCTTCAGCCGGAAAACAGGTTATTTGTGATGAGGGTTTGTAGCTACATTTCGGGAATAAAGCTTCATACCTGATGAGTTGAAGAAGACATTGCTGACAGCTGGTTAGATACCGACGACACTTGGTCACTCAGTGACGAGATGTGTCGGGACGTTTGTGTGTGCTGGTCAGCTATTGTTGTTGTCTGTTCGTCGAGCCGTCGGTTTGTACCATTCAGCCGGTCGGTCACTTGGCGACTAGTGGTGGTTTGTTCGTTGCGTAAAGTGGATACTTCTTGCTGAGTAGCAGTCAGTTGTTGTTGTGTTGTATTCTGGTTGTTGGTGATGGCCGTAAGTTGTTGCTGAGTAGCAGTCAGTTGTTGTTGTGTTACGGTCTGGTTGTTGGTAATGGCCTCTGCAAGCTGTTCCTCTAGCGTATCACTGCGTGCCGACAATGCAGTGATGGACGTAGCTTGCTGGGTTAGCTGTTCGGAGATAGAGTCCAGTCGACGTACAACAGCTGGTGGTACATTGGAAAGATGAGGCTGTAATGAACACACAGGGTTGTGGCGACACAGCAACACCACACAGAGCATACCAACATAACACCACACAGAGCATACCAACACAACACCACACACAGTGTAGGCAATAAAATAACACCACACACAGTGTAGGCAATAAAATAACACCACACACAGTGTAGCCAATAAAATAATATCACACACAACATGAAGAGAAAAGTACTTTAGACGTTACTAGTTATGACTAACAGTCCACCAAGGTAACCAAGGTAACCAAGGTAACCAAGGTAACAAGGATATTGAGACATCCGACTACCTGATACCTAGTTCCAATACATCTACGAATCTCAAACCAACAACCTCCCTTAATTGGGAGGCTCAGATGCGGAATACTTCAATGAGGGGAAGGGATGCGTCACGAAGATGTGCACGAGCTATGACCCTCGGCAACAAAGAATGTCGAATGTTACAAGATGATGATGACGAGACTAGTAAGACCATTGGACAAACCGGTCTAACTACAACTCGAAAACGCAAGGCAACATACCACCCAACATGGGAGGCTCATAAGAGTGTAAAAAATTAACTAAAAATACATGAAGAGTGGAAGCCAAGCGAAAGCGAACTGTCACAAACCGAAAACCATTATCCTACTTAACTCCATGTTGGTGTAACCATGATGGACAAGTTTGGTACAATAACCTTCACCTCATTGGAACTTTCCGCAGCTGAGCCTTCCAAGTTGGAAGGTTGTTGGTTTGCGCTTCGTAGATGTGTTGGAACTAGGTGTCAGGTCGTCGATGGTCTCAATATCTTAGAGTCAGTTGTGTGCCTTGTTGTCGCACTATCCGACTGTTTGTTATCTCGTTATCTAATCACTATTACCTCACCATCCTAGTGTTCTATTACACACAACATAGCAACCGCAATAACACCACACACAGAATACCAACACAATCACCTACATAGAAAAATAGACAAAAAAGATCGAAAAACAATGAATGAGAGTGTTTCTGGATTGTTTGGTGACAGCCACTGGCTTCTCCAGGCAGCATTGGCCCTCACTCCAGTCTTCATCTCTATTTCCTGTCGTTTAGATACCATTTCAATGGTCAACTCTACCTGAATGTATGTGTTCTGGTCTACACGTATTGCAGCCCAATTTCAGCAGAATGGAAACTGTTCTTTATGCTACAAGTACAGGACCAGTAGACCAGTGTACTTGCAATTCTCTCTCTCTCTCTCTCTCTCTCTCTCTCTCTCTCTCTCTCTCGTTGCCGCTGATTGTGATAGGTATAGGCAGCTTGTTTTGTCAGTGTATTTAGGTTTTCTTTTAATTTTTTAATTATTAATATTTTCAGTATACCCAACTCGCAACACACTAACAGTCCTTGGCTACACCACGTACAGTTGAAATTGTCCATATTTTCACCCAGGAGGGCATCATCAGGGATATCCATCCATCCATCCATCCATACATACATACATACATACATACAAGTACTTAGTGGGGTGCTGTGGCATAATCGAAAACGCTGCGAAGTAGCGTTCGGCCCTTATTCCCAATCGAACATGGCTGAACAAGTAGTCAAGGGCTCGTGCGTAAATCAGTCAACTGGTTACCGTGCCTGCAGGCTACAACTTACAGCATGTTTAGGCGAGTTTCTGTCACTCGAGTTGAACCTTTGAGTTGATCCTTGGTGTGAAAATTGTCGCCTGCTGGCGCGGTGACTAGGTGACTGGTGTACGTAGGAGCACGTTACCGCTTGTTCAACCATGTTCGATTGGGAAAAAGGGCCGAACGCTGCATCGCAGCCTTTTAGGACCAAAACCAGTCGAATCAGCGTCCAAAAGACTATAACATATCGGCCAATCGCGGTCATCCGTGCTTTTCTAAGAACAATAAGGCGCTTTCAGTGACGTTTTGCATACAAATCCCCATCTAGTAGGGCGCAGTCACCCAGTTTCGGTGGAAGTGTGCGAGTTCGATTGGGAATAAAGGAGGAAGGGAACGTCTCAGCTTCCTCGTACCAAGACCATTCGACTCAGCACCCCGAAGACTACAACTGGTGAAAAATTGATTTTAGGCTTATCTTCCCCTTTAATAAAAAAGGTAGCAGCCTACCCATAAATTTCATAGGGCATTCAATTGACCGTAACTTTAGTGTCTCTCAATGGATTGGAGTTAAATTTTCATCACACACTCCTGCCACTATGCTGGCCCTCTGGACATGATTTAAAAGTTCTTGCGCCTCATTGACAGGCTTTCCAGGCCGGAAAAACTCAAAATTCCGGCATAGTGCCACGGTGTGCGAGCCACCTAGGAGCCAAAAAAATGCATTTACAATTTTTTCACCTTTTCTTGCCCATTCTGTCCGTGCACGGGATCCAAACCTAAAAAAGTCCAGAAACAGCCATGGGTGGTGGGATAGGGCCCCTGAACGTGGCCATGGAATCTGTCAAAACGAGTGGGCGTTCTCTCACACACTCCCACAGACCGAAATCAATTTTTGAATTTTTAGGTTTAGGGTGTGCTACGAGGTCGTACCTTTGATACAACATCCAGTGCTGGGACCTCCACAGCAAGCCATTTCCACAGCGCTGCACACCAAATCCAGGATACCCTCCAAAATCGGCAAAGACTACCACTCACGTTCCACTACTGCCTAGTACTGAATCCTACCAGACTTCTTCAAGTTCAACGTCAACTACAATAATCAAGCCACATATCTGCAACGTCACGAGGGTTCTGGCAAAAGTCCTGTCACCGTGCAACCCAATACATGGCTAAAAACGTGATTTTTTGGACTTGGAGCAAATTTCTGCACACTTTCGCGTTTTTCCATAATACGACAAGTTGCACACGGTCTGCTCACATTCATATACAGTGCTGCCAAAAAATGACAGAGCGGATCAAAAAATCTTTCCTTGCAAGGGCACATTTTCGGCCATAACTCTTGAACGGCTGGTCAGATCGAGACAAAAGTTTCAGAGATTTTGCAGCTATTCATGCTCTTTCAAGTTTCAACTGATGTAGCACTCGATATGGATTTACAAATTCGATTTTCAGCGAATTTTTGGGTAGGCTGCCACGTTTAATTTAATCAGCTCCTTAATGGCTATTTTACTGCGACTTCAGCCCAATATGCAGCGCAAGATTTGCTGCGGTTTTCAAAGAATTGTTCCGCTATTGTCCGTGGGGACAGGTGTGCCACTACAAAATCCCCCCCCCCCCCCCACGGTCTACTCAAGATACAGACTCTCTCCAAATTTCATCTTTGGGATATATGTCGCTGAAAGTTACAGTCATGTGTGAAGTTCATGTACACGGATACGCTACCAGTATTAAATTTGGTAAGAGAAAAATTGTTTGCAACTTCTCAGAAGGGACGTTTGCCTGGTCTGTGTGTATGCGCGCACGCGCGTGTGTGTGTGTGTGTGTGTGTGTGTGTGTGTGTATGTGTGTGTGCATGCATGCAAGCTACTTTGTGTTGAGTCTGTTGCCAACAAGCTTGGCTGCTTGAAGGTGTAATGTTGTACCTGCCACCTTTCGTTGGTTTCAGGGTTCATGTACTGTATACTGTAAAAGCACTGCAGATTGAGTATTTCGCTCCTGCTCTTGTAGCAGTTGAGCACTCTTGCGTGGGGTAGTGCCTTTGCTGTTTGCGTTATCCAGAGCTCACTGATCTGTCAGTTTGAGCACTCTGGCAAGGTACATTCGGGCCTGGTTTAAATCTGGCTTTGGAAAATTTATTTTTCATTGCTACCAGGTTCGGCCTCATTTCCTCTGTGCTGCGCTGACGAGTCCACAAAGGACGAAACAGTTCTGTCCGCAGATTGAGTATACTGTAAAAACAAGTTTTCTTCGGTGTAACTTTAATTTCGGCGACTTTGGTAGAGAAACCAGGCAACTAAATTTAAATCACACCTACAGTCCATTCATAAAAAGATGGACGTCTAGCTTTTGGCCATAAATGCGTCCAAACTTTGAGTTTTTTTAGAATTTTTAGCTGCAATCCCCTATTGAATCCTCTTCCAATTATGTTTCTGAAGCCTATTTTTCCGAAAAGCAAGCCCTACCAAGAATAGGATTTCGGCCAGGTTTTGCCCCAAAAGCACTGAATTGGGAAAAACCATCAAAATCCAGGTCGTTTGACCCTGCCTGCAACAGTGCGCTGTGCAGTTCGAACCCCAGTTCGGGTACCCTTTTTGGACTTTTTTTCCAATTTCCAATTTTGCAGCACTGCACTGTGTGCGATAAAATCACGGAAAATCGCCAAATATAAGAGCTTGCCAGAGCCAGGGCTAGGCCCAGACAGATCCTGCCGGCACGTCTTTCGGCAAAATATCGAAGAATTGAAAGAGCGGAAATTGCCTGCAAAATTGGAGCAAATTATCGAGATGTTGGGTATAATCGATGCCCGATACATGGATTTCCTTGTTTCTTATCCGTTCAGCAGGATACACTGCCCAGGACGAGATCATGTCACCGAAATATCAATGGGATTCACTGTGGATCGACACGATTTTAGAAGAACTCAGGGACACGTGCGTGGAAACCCGTGTTGAGAAACCGACCCTGCGACTTTTATGAAACGTTGTACGGGATTGTACGGGAATTGGATAAAATACACGTTTTTCTAGAGCAAAATGGAGCAAAATATCGAGTTTCTTGTGCCACGCTCGGCAAAATACTGTAAACCCCTAGTTTTAGCGAAATATAAACCTTAGCGAATTTAGCGAATCAGTCAAATTCGCTAAAGTTAGAGGTCGCAAATCACTTTTTTCTTTTCTTTTTTTAGTGACAATTCGAAATCGCTAAATATTATTGGTTTACAGTATCGACGATTTCGCAGCAACTTTTTGCGGCAAAATATCTAGGCGAGCGGAGCAGAATCTGTCTGGGCGTAGCCAGGGCCCATGTTTTTATGAATGGACTGTAAATGATACCTGAGTATGCACTGTATGTGATGGGAATACTGGTCACCTACAGTCCATTTCAAAACTATAGGCGCGCAGTG